TTATTTATAACTTACACCAGGGACAAGGAGGTTAGGAATAATTCTTCATTGAGCCAAAAATTTCTTGGGTTCTGGTCCACCATACTTCTTGGGCAATTAATAATAAACAAGTCTACAAAAGATTTATTATTGCACTATATTTTCCTTACTCCATATAAATGAGGTTCACTATCCTTGTTAACCTCTCTATGTTTAAAATATAAGGTCCATAAATTACTTTAATTACTTTTTTTATTGGAACAGTAAAGGAGATATATTAAAACCAAAAAAGAAACAACGTTTGAATACAAACCAAAACCAACGGGCTAATGACTCCACCTGCCAAACTGAAAAAATGAGAGGACTCGCATAGAAGCGGCCTAGAGACAATACAACTAACAATACAGGAGAAAGACACCAAGACCATTGCAATAAGGCCTAGTCTGCTATCAACTTCCATAAAGATAACCAAAACAAAGAGAAACTAAGAAAATCAACTATAAAAACTAAAAGCACATGAACTACAGACTGCTCCAGCACAAGATAGCTACTTCTTCACTGCTCTGAATTCCAGCCAAGCATGATGTGCCTTGTTGATCACCATATGGATTGGCATCTTGAAATTTTCAAAAAACATCCACATGTTTCTTGATTTCCACAACCATAGAAGGTAGGTTGTAAGTTGAATTATGTTTTCAGCCACATGGGATGATTTGATAGTGCATAAGTAATACCACCAAGTTCAGCCTTCAGGCCACCTAAAGGGTTTAAATAAAAAACCTGTTGAGCTCATCTGGGAAATGTCATCAACCTTGCACACCAGGACGTAGTGATCTAACTAAATTACTAATAATTTAATTAATCAACGTATTTTTATCTAAGACTAGTACAACTTAATCCTTATATTTTGCCAGAATCAGCCCGCCTAAAGGGTTTGAAATAAAAATCATGTTGAGCTCATCTGGGGGATGTCATCAACCTTGCACACAAGGAAGTAGTGATCTAATATAATCAACAACACACCTTATGATTAATAATAATTCCCAACTCATCAACTTATTGACTTAGCAGAGTAAGTCTCACTCTTTATTAAATTAAAATGCCATTATTAATCAATGTGCTTGTCATTACAAAATGGCTTTAGAGTACGAGTGATATTGCGAAGTCTAGTTTATTTACTAGGTTAGTAAATAAACTTCTCCTCTGGGTCCATTTCAATACACATAAAGTGTACTAGTATATAACAAGTGACGTGCGCAGAGATGGGCCACGGTTGTGCGCACGGGCTATGCTTGGTGCTGGGTCGCAGGTCCACCAGACGCTGATCGTGTAGCCCAATCGAGAACTTCTCGACGAGTTTCCAATAAGTTTCCGGCAAGTTTTCAGGTGAGTTTCTGACGTGTTTTTCCGTGATTCTTCAATGACGTCAACCATGTTTTCGAAGTGCATTTTTCTAAAAAAAAAAAATTATAAAAAGATATAGAAAAAGAGACACAATAATAAAATGTCATGAAAATATGTAAATGAGTACAATCAACCTAATAGACCGAAAACCTATAAGACATGCTAAAATGAACTCAACATAAATACTGGAAAAAAAATACACAGCAAGCTCATCTTGGGACCGTCAGCCTAGAGCACCAGGATACAGTGACCGAATATAATCAACAACAGACCATATGATTAACAATCATTCTCAACTCACCGAGTTATTGACCTAGCGGAATAAGTCCCACTCTTTGATGACAAAGAACCATTATTAATCACATATTTCCATCATTATAAAATAAAATTGTCCTCTAGGGTCCAATTCAATACACAAAGTATAAAAGTATAATTCGTCGATTAAGATAACTTAACTCAAATTATACTATAACTATATCGATAGGTTTGTCCATTGCTATCTTGGTTATGAACCTTATTTATATAGTACAAGGAACGTATAATATAAGTTTTTGTGCAATGAAGTCTTACAATATTATTTTCAATGTCAAAATAGGATAAATGGAAATTCATACATAATGTAAATTGCACAACAATTGACCAGAAATGGTTCTTTTATTCAAAACGAAATAAATTCAAGCGAAGAAATATTAGTTGTTAGAAAGATTTTGAGTTAATAATAGAATAATATTTAAAATAAAATAAGTAAAATTGATTTAATGTAAAATAAAATGAAATAATTAAAATTAAATTAATGTAAAAATATGATAGAGATGATTTTAAATGATTGTTAGTTAAAATTATGTAGATGAACAGTAAATTAAAGTTGGTGTAATGTGTAAAAATGATTGAGTAATATTATTTAATTATATTAATAATATTGAGATGATAGGGTTGAATAAAAAAATAATTTATTAAAAATAATATTTTTTTCTTTTTTGAAATTTTATATCCAAGCATTCTTTAAGTGATCATGAACAATAATTGGATATCTTTTACTATAATATTTAAAGATACTACTATAATACTACATGGCACAAGCATGTATCTAAAGATATGGATGCAATAATTGGATATCTTCTATTATAATAATAATGAAGAAAAGTATAATCAACTTCGTGAATAGCTGTGAGTAGTGAATTTATTTCACAACTCACGAAGACGATTAGATGATCAAATTTCCCTACATCAGTAAGTAAATAACTCTCCCTTTGCATTAAAAATTTCAGTTGTACTGTAGCACAAATTTCTGTTTCAGGCGGTTTAACCATTACATGATCCAACCATCATACATTAATTTATAATAAAAATGTGTAATATTAAATAACTAGCATTCGATTATGTGCACATGCACAAATGCATATAAAATTTTATGCATTATATGTGTGGTTATTAAATCATAAGTTAGATAATGAGTAAATCACATTTTTATAAATTTTATCATTAGTAGAAATAAAAAATATAAATATAAACTATTTAACCTACATATTAATCATTATATTTGATGTAGCACAGGAGAACATTTATGTAGACCGACAAAAATTGGCTCGGTTTCTAGACCGATCAGATGTGATTGACCGAGCAGATACAATTTGGTGTCGCATGTGCTCGGCCCACCAACAATTCTTTTATGGGTATGGTTGGACTTGTAGGCCAAACGGATGTGTTAACATATGGGCTTGGCCCAATAACAACTTAGTTGGGTTCACGGCCTGCTAATAGTTGGGTATGCGGTGGGTTGAGAATCGAGTAGGGTTACAATTATCAAATTGACCCCTAAACGACACGTGTAGTGTGGCGATCATAGGAGGGATAGGTGATCTGATGAACGAGGAGCAAAGCGTACATAAGACGCTAATTACGTATAAATAGGTGGGTCTTGTGTGGTGGCTGAGGTATGAATTTTCACGTTACAAAACCCTAATATACAAACTGAGCTTTCCTTGATATCCCACTAACTTGAGCGTCGGAGGTTTACCGTCGGGAACACTTCACAGCGTCTTTGCAGTTTTTGGAGGGCTCAAGCAGTTGGAGAACGAGGAGGGTCGGTTCAGTGTGCAATAGCACACATCAATATTGATAGAATCTTGGCTGATTATAACCAATTAATTTAATAAAAAATATTAAAATTATTATTTATAGCAATTGTCTACGAAATTTTAAAGTATTTGCTTATACCATATAAAATAATTTACTAGTTAAAAAAAAAAAAAAAACTTGCTTATAATGAGTTGAAAAGAAAAAGAAACAATAATTATAAATGAATAATTTAATACATAAACTTTTTTTAATATGTTTGATTAACTCGAAATTTGTTCGTTCGAACTCGAAAAGAATACAATAAAAAATATTTTTATATCAGATTTTTTATTAAAAATATTATGTATGCATATAAAAAATAAATGAAATTATATTAAATTTAGATACTATATTAAAAATATTATGCAAATATATAAAAATAAAATAAAATAATATTAAATTAATGTTCGCAAACATAATTGAACGTTCACGAACGAGCTCGTGTTCGTTCGATTATTAAACGAAACAGGAACGAGCTTTTGTTCGCGAACGTTCAGTTCATTTGCAGCCCTATAATTCAGCATTAACATAAAAGTAACCTTCCAAATTATTTAACCAAAATTAATAATTCTAGCCAGATCTAGAAAGACAACTTTTTTTCCGCACAAAATTAATTTGCAATATTTTGTCGAGGAAGTTAGTTACAAAAGACGATTAGTATTTCTTTAGTCACAAGTACCACGTTATTACCAAAGCTCACATGCAAAATCATGCTTAAGCATTCCTAACTAACGAGGCTCTTTAACATCTATAAGCACAAGCTTGCCACACTTGGATGGACACACTAATGAAACAAATGTCGATATCCTCTAAAACCGGTCTTGCCCTATTTTTTTCCTGTGTGGTGGCGATCACCGCCACTACCGCTGTAATGGCGCAATGCGAAGGTAATTTTCAAGGCCTTATGCAGCAATGCTCGAGGTACGTTCAGAAAACGGGCCCCAGAGAAAGCCCGTCCCAAGAATGTTGCAACGTTGTGAAAAGTGTCGACTTGCCGTGCGTGTGCCGGCACATAACGGGACAGGTTGAACAGATAGTGAGCATGGAGAAAGCAGCCTATGTTGCAGCGTTTTGTGGCAAACCCCTACCGCGCGGGACCAAATGTGGGAGTATGAATTAGCATCATGCTTTCGCGCGATTTTATTTCGATAGTGTTTGAACAATTGGTTCAATGCAAAAAAAATATATATATTTTATTTTTATTTATTTATTTATTTATTGGTTAATTTTCAATGCATAAATTTGATGTTGATTACTTACTTCACCTTTTTCATGTGGTGCAGGTTATGTTGTTCCTGGAAACTAGAGTGAAAATGAATGTGATGCTCATATTTGAAGACAATTACTACATTCAACTTTCAAAGCTACAATAAAGGAGAGCATCTTTTGTCATATATGTCATTATATAAAGTGTATTATGTATGAGATGTACTTAAAATGGACGAAAATAAAATAATTTGTGGTTTCTCATCCGTGAGTCCAGGAGATCATGAACCAAATTAAAAAGTTGCGTACCAAATTATATTGAAATACAATAAAGAGTTACCAAGAATTGCATAACATTACTCAAAAATAAATTAAAAAAAAAAATAAAGAAATTGTAGAGATGTGCTATAGTGTTGCGCCACAACAGGCGTAACACTGTTCATACATCTGAAATAGTGCGCACACCGAGCTATGGGTTGTAGGAGATTTTATCTCCAATCTAGCGCAAATCACCACATCTACGATGCGCTGGAGTTGGTCTTACGTTGCATCGACTCTAATAAAATCACATAAATAATTTCTTTCTCTTAAAACCGAGAAATTTTGAAAAAGAACAAGAATATAACCTGGGTTTTAGACATCTCTCACTTTGCATGTGAAGATTAATTTTTCTCTGAGCTCACTCAAGTAGTTGCTAAACTGCACAATCTCTGTAAATCCTCAAAATGTCTGATGCAGTTAGTTCTGTTCCTTACATGGAATATTCTCAAAATGTTTATTTGTGCAAGTACTGTTTACCTCTCTTCGCCTGCCGTGTTCTTTTCAGACCGGCAAACTGCAATAAGCTTGCTCAAATTCAACAGATCAGACAAAAGAAAACAAAAGTAGAACAGCAAAATATAAAAACAATAATAGACCCTTCATTCT